AAGGGCAAGAGTCAGATAATAATAATAGTAATATTTCAGAGTCTCTTCTGTCATCCACTTTGGTCTTCTCTTCTTTTGTTGTCTTTTTAGTGACCTCTTGCTTTCTTCATGGATGATGCTCTTGATGTCATCCCACAATTGATCTGGTTTCTGGTCATTGGTGTTCAATGAATCAAATCTATTCTTTAGATGGTCCACAGAATTACAAAAGAAAAAAAATCAATTTATTAAATCTCTTTACTTTTCTTGGTAATATAATTATTTGGATAGGTTCAGTAAAAATATGTCCTTCTTATTGCAAGTGTAGAACTGGACAAATTGACTGGGCAGCAAAGGATTTATCTAGAGTGTTATGTGTGTGAATAATGGTCATTGAATTATGATCATTAAATGATGGTCATTTTGGGGGAACAATGCTAGGCCAGATTTATGGGTATAATGGTGACATCTGGTAGAGAGATTTTCATTGGCATGATTTTCTAGCCTTGAGGTAGTCAATAATGTTGTTGTTGTTATGTGCCGTGGAGTCAGACCCTCCCTTGGGTTTCCAAAGCAGTATCACTATGGAAGTAGATTGCTCAACCTTCTTTCTGAGGAGTGGATGGTGGATTTGAACTGCCAGCCTTCTGGTTAGCAGTCAAATGCCTTAGGCACTATGTCACCAGCGCTTTTAAAAATAAAATCCAAAATTCATTAAAAAATAGTGTTCAGTATTCTATGATTCTACATTTGCAAATCAAGCTCAGAGGAGTATATCTTAAATTAACATACTTGCTGTATTTATCTGAGTAATCAGGCCAAAACAAAATAAGACTGGTTTTACTTTTGATCGAGATTATTCATTCTCTGAGCTTATATGGTCACAAAGAGGGAACACTATATGGAAATGTAAAAACCTTAGAAATGATGTTATGTATACATAATATTCATATATATTAGAGTATTATGGATGTGTGTATACACACTCTAACATATATTACAGAGACCATTAAAGTGTTCACTCATTATATACATGGGATATATATATTAGAGTTAGTAGAGTGTCTTTTCTAGTGCACCAATCTAGGCTATTTCTACCATTCATTCTTTTGAGCTATTTTAAAATTATGTAAATTGTAGAAAACTGAAAAAATGTACATCATTCTTGGTCACAGAAATCAAATTACTTATGTTCAGTGGAATGCAAATGATTATTGCTGTGAGGATAGAGCTATTTGTATCTATTTGCAAATTCATTTTGGCATTCTTATATTCTTGTGTAGGTGTGATTCTTTGTCTTTTGAACCAACTGTAACAGCTTATTGATTCCCTCATTATTTAATAAGCTAGAAATAACTGATAGATGTTTGTTCTATATTTATATGAGAGTCATAATTGTATTTAACAATTATTTGTAATTTTTCATCTTTCTTCTTTCAGTCATACAATAAGAAATAGTGCAATAGAATCAATCCATAAGAGAGAAAGGAGAGGAATTTATACACTTTCACGTCCCTCTGGGCTTTTCCTCTTCTTTTGGCATAAGGAACAGTTAGTGTATATTGTAGTTTATTTGGATTTTTCTAGCTTCAAAAACAAATTTATAGCTTCTTAACTTGATTACAGAATTGATTTTTTGGTTTATTGTACTCTAGAGATAACAGAAATGTATTTACTGATTTTAAGATGTCTTATACTGATTACTGTAAAATATTGTGTTTATAAATTAGGTTTTTCAGCACTTCAGTATATATGAATGAAAATCAGTTTCAACTTTAATATGTCCATATACACAAAAATAGATACTTCAAGTACATATAACATGAGTTGTTTTAATTGATCAGAATATCTTAAGTATGTTTTACAGATTGAAGAAATATTGAAGTGGTTTCTTTTAGCAGATTAAAACCAAGAAAAAAGTAAAAGAAGTTCACATTTTTCATAAATTTATAAATGATAAATACAGCCCCACAGTTACCACCAGTTTTATGTACACTGAATTACATTTGAACAGATACTACATTCTAGTATGGATATTTAATGAATGAAAGCATTGGAAAATAACTTTTAAACAACTGACAGATTAGTATTTTTCACTAGTAATTGCATAAAGACAGCAAAGCTAGGAAAGCAGACTGCCACATCTTTTTCCTATGGAGTGGCTGGTGGGTTTGAATCACTGACCTTTTTGGTTAGTGCTTTAACCACTGCACCATAGGGCTCCTTTTTAAAAGCTAGAAATCCCCCAAAGTAGTTTTTGATATTAAAGAAGTTGGTTTTTAAAACATATCAAATTTTAGTTTT